AATTAAATAATAAATGTATTAACATATAATTGTTGTTTATATTTTTCTACCAACCACATTTTTTTTCATGATTTTAAATTTTCATGATCTATCCCCCATCAGGTAAATTTAAATTTTAAACATATAACAGAGCCATCTATCGCTCATCAGGTAAATTTAAGTTTTAAAAATATAACAGCGCCATCTATCGCCCGATGGTTAGCAATTTCCAGTCCAACTTAAAAATATGACAGCGCCATCTGTCGTTCATCAGGTAAATTTTAAGCCGCGCCATCTATCAATCATCAGGTAAATTTTAAGCTGCGCCATCTATCACTCATCAGGTAAACCACCCCTTTTTTAGTTTAACTACACAACACCAGATGGCGCCACATGAATTTTGAATTTCAAATTTCCCGCCAAATTTCCCGCGCTGTGACGTCACTTCCTGCGCATGCGCAGGGAGCAGGGAGCACAGGGAGCAACTTCCGCTCCAGAATCGGCATTAATATACTACTGTCGTCGAAATACATGTAATTCCGGATAACATTTGCAGCTTCAGGATATTGCATCTCGTATATATTGGCCAATTCTTGCAGAGTGCGTAATGCCATGAATGGAGATGCGGACATACCATACGTGACTGTATTTAATTTATATTCGTTGATTTCACCGTCATTAGCATTTCTCCAGATGATTCGCTGATAATCACGGTGATGCGAGGCGACGAGAATTTGGCGGTACAGCTGCTTGATATCGCAGACAAATACGTTGGGAAAACATCGAAAAGTAATTAGAATGGATACCAAATCTTGTTGTAATTTAGGCCCGGTCAATAGAAGATCTTTTATAGATTTATTTGATGTGGTCTTGGCGGATGCGTCGAAAATGACGCGTATTTTGGACGAGTTGGGGTTGCAGAAGTCATCTTTGGGAACAGGGGACATGTGTTGTTGCGAAAGATAATAATCATCCATGAAATTTTGATAAGCGTTGTACATGGTTGAGTTTTTCAAAAGCCGTTTTTCCAGAAAAAGAAATCGACGAAATGCTTGTTGGTATGATTGTCCAAGAGATGGTTGTTCATCTTTGAATGGTAAAGCGAGCACAAAACGGCCCTCAGTGTTGCGATGATACGTAGAATTAAAGTGTTTTTCACATAAAACATTCTCGGGTGATTTTGCTACAGTGTTCTTCACCTGATCCAATTCCCAGAAGCGTTGAAGACAAAAATCTACTGTAGGTTCGATGAACAATGTGAGATTGGATGTAGACGCTGAAGAATTGTTAGATTTACTAATCAGAAAATCATCCGAAAATAGACTCCAGCGCCGCGAGCTCATTCTGAGTACCAATTTTTCGGGCCCCAGTGAGTATTGAGGGAACCAGTTCAGCTCCCAAGAGTAGATTGACGGGACCGGGAGACGATTGACTGACAGATATGTTAAGATGACGTAGATGTGGATAGTTTAATATTTCAATCGGTTCTTTGGGTTGATTGGAACAAATTTTAGGGCTAATTATAGCTGTAAATTCTAAAATGGGTTGAAGAGCGGTGCAGGGTTTGATAGCGCAGGCGATAGAACCTCCATTACAGTTGGAACTCATGCTGTTCAACCCTTCAATAGTGACAGAACTTTTACATCTTTCAAGTTGAAGTCTCTTTTGCAGGCGTTCAGTAATAAAGTTTACCATGCTGCAGGAATCAATGAGTGCCCGAACTTTGTGAAAGGTTCCAAAACGGTCCTGGACTCCATCTCAGCGAAAGGAGGTAATACGGTCATCATGGAATTTAACGCAGATCCAATAGTTGTTCATCATTCATTGGGTTATTCAGATGTAATAAAGTGTGGTGACGTTTATTACAGATACGACAAGCATTCGTAGAAATGCATTTACTGGTGGAGTGTCGACAGCCTAAACAGTTTTTGCAAAGATTGGTCTTAGTGACAAATTCAAATCGTTGTGCCTGTGTTCGAATTTGGTTCTAATCGAAGTATCTAACTTTTGTAATAGGATATTGAACAATAAGAAATCCCATGAATCAACAGGAAATCCGAGAGTCTTGAGGCCTACCACATTTTCTGTGAATATATCGATTAATGAACGATAGGCTTTAGCGGAACCCTCTTGTTTTATTGTTATGCCCTGTATTTCGTTGTAGTACAGTGTGGCAAGATGCCTTTTATTTTGATACCTAATCTTCAGCATCTTAAACGCAATAGGGTAATTGTCATTCGTCATAGGCAACCCTTTAATGAGTTGTAATGGCTCACCAGATAATGACATCAATAAATATTGATATTTAACAGCATCCGAAAAGGATGTATTTTCGTGCACCATGGAGCGGAATAAATCGCAGAAACTTGACCATGCTTTGAAATCGCCAGTAAATGTTGGTAACATAATTTTGCTCAACTTTGGAGATTCGAGAGCAGTAGGTGGATGTTTAGTAATATGAGAATTTTTAATTCTTTGATGAATTGCCTTTATAGAAAAATATGCGGTATCTGCCTGTTGGCGAATACGATCATGCTCATCAAACTCTTCATCGGTAATTAAACCAATAGCTTGATTATACAATAATTGAAACTCTCGGTAAGTATTTTTTATATCACCAGCGCATGCGACAAAAATCAATGCGCCTTCAGTTATAGTGGTGAGGCTGCGGCCACAGCCCAATGTTTCGAGGAGTCGATTTAATTCGATGTTTCGACGTAGAAGAGCCTTCGCGAGTTTATCAACCATTGTAAAAACCGAAAGAAAATATCAATATAAATTGTGAATGAAATTTAGGACCAGTCTATATAAATTGCGAAAATTATAGTAAACAGATTATAAGAATAAATCTCGTGCCAGATGTGAGCTCCAGATGTGAGCGTACAAAAAAGCGGATTTCAAAAATGACAAAGAAGTTCAGAGTGCGTTGTAAATTAACGAAAATGCGTAAAATTAATAAGAATAATGTATAGGAGCGTCGTAGAGTCGTGCGTAGTGTCGATCACCTACTCGGTTCAGTGAAGGACCCAGAAACACGCTAGCCACTGAAGAAGCCAATAGTCGAAAATAACAGAAGCGGAGAAAAACCAAGAAACGTAACTGAATCCGGCTCGAAGGACCATTAATGTTCGTACAAAAAAGAAAAATTGTCGAACTAAAAAGCGAGGTGCCAGTTAATAATGATTAATAAACGGTTAATAAAATAATAATTAAATTCTGTTAATAAAATCAAAAATATAACTTTAATGCGAAAGCGGTTGCAATGAATGCAAACCCTGCAATTAATAAAGAAAATTATACAGAATGAGCGAAAGAATGTAAATAAAGGTAAATAAAATAAAGCGTACATACAAGAGTGCGGCGAAAATTATACGTGTCGTGGTGGAAATTGAAGGCACACGATGCAGACGATATGGCGACTAGCGAAAGATTGAAATCATGTCGATTAAGAGTGATAACGACGGGAAAGAAGTGAGACAAAATGCGTCACTTCAATTTTAAAAACAAAAATATTAGCAATCGCAATTATCCATGAAAAATCAAAATTACCTCTTACTTGCTTTTATTAATATGCTTCGATACTAGTTTCGAGGTATTACCTCATCTTCAGTCGAAACTACAAACTCATTTAATTAGAAAAAACAATTTAAAAGAAAAATAAAACTTACTGTCAAAGTTAAAGATGCTCACAAGCGAGAAAATTAATAAAAAGTATGTTAAATTTGAACATGTTGAAATAAAATGCTTTAGATACGTAGTAAAATTATTTGAAGGTCAAAAGGTTTACAATGGTTGAAGACCAAAAAACATTTTATAGGTTAAATCTAAAATAAAACTAATTAATATTAAATAACAAAACTAGATAAAAACTTACAAATAAGCGAAGACAAAGAAATAAGCAGAGGTTGCGAGATTTTCAACGTAAAAAAGGCCGAAAAACGTTATTAAAAATTTTGAAAAATACGTTAGAAGTCCCGCAGCGATGCGTGTTCGCGTGTTCGCGAGCATAAGAGTAAGGTGAATTCTAATGTCTATAAACACTACATTGAAACAGGGCATAATATTAATTATAAAGATATAAAATTATTACGTAAATGTAGTAAAAGTGAAAAACTTGATCTTCTTGAGATTTTTGAAATTGTTAAACATAAAAATAATGAAGAGTTTGTGCTCTTGAATGATCAACTTCAATTAACTCAGAAACCCATTTTTGCTTTTTTGAAAGATTTTAAACTTAAATGCTGATTGTTTTTATAGTTTCCCCCTCCCTCGCGAACACGTTTCCCCACCTGTTGTTCTTTTTCCGTTTGTCGCTTTCACAGATTACTATATATTTTTATACTTTGTGGACCACAGAGTATACAGAGGACCACAGAGTATACAGAGGCCGGACTCCGGCTAATAAATTGGCACTCCTATCTATCCTTGTTCAACTAATGAAAACTTCGTATGATACTTTCTCTCTCACATAAACTGAATCGATGTAGATGGCGCAATGGTCGCGTTACAGTAGTATTTAAAGAAACCAATAGATGGCACCATTTATTTCAAAATTTTTAAGTCGTAAACTCGTAGAGTTTAAAGAAGGCAATAGATGGCGCCATGTATTTCAAGTCGTAAATCTGTAAATCAAAAAGCTACGTCCAGTTGGTCCAGTTCTATCAGAATTTGCGTGACTTGCTTATTCAGCCATTTAAAAATTTGTATCTACTTCATCAATCTTTTATCTGTGTCTTGTTTAATTATTGTGTAGTTTTGCCTGTATATCGTTTGATTATTACAGAGATTTGTTTAGTAGTTTATTTGTTTGTATACCTTAGTTTTCATTAGTTTATTACCATAGTTCGTTATCTTAGAATTAGTTAGTTTTTCAGGCCAAGTCCAGTTTTATAGTAGAATTTAGTTGTAATGGATAGGAATTGCTACATTTGCGGACGTTCGGTAGAGGAAGCGGTTAAATTATTTTCTTTTCCATTAAATATCAATAAGTAAATTTATAAATTTAAGTTGGATAGATTTTTTGTACTAAATGAAAATCTACTTTGATATTTTAGACAGCGATCATGGAATGAGTGTCTTGATGTACCAGCAGAAAACACATATTCTAGACGAATGAGAATTTGCAACAATCATTTTACAATGGAAAGCTTTATGTTGAATAAGACCCCCTTGACCTTAAAAAGAGATGCAAAGCCTTTAAGAGTGATCATGAATGTAAATTCTAATTTCTTACTTCTAATTGCTTCTATTTACTTTTAGAATTAAATTTACAGTTCTAATGACATTTTCTTTATTCAGGAAGCACACGTTGTAACAAGTGAATCGCTTAGACAGCCTGAACTGGAGCAAGATAATTTAACGGATTCTGTCATAGTAAGTTTTACTTTTATTTTCACTTTATCAGTAACATGGATAGGATACCATATTATGCTGAGAGCTGTCAGAAATAAATATTAATTAATTTCTGTGCTGGTTATTGTTATATTTTAATACATTATCACTTTTTACTGAAGAAGGTTTTTTTACTTTGTAATGTAAGTGGGCATTTAATAATAATAATAATACATGTTTATTGATGATGCAACAAAAGTGCAACAAACCAAAAAAAAATATATTTAAGTAAATAAAATCATGAACACTGTAAAATTATCAACAAAAACGACCGGATTTGTGTATAAAATAACACTTTGTATATTTATAGGAGTTAAATATAACAAAAGACGCTGCCATACCTTCCTCCGCTACAAATCCAACAACAGAGTCAGTATTTAAGAAGAGCCAGACTAGTGCAACAATCAAAGAAAAATCACTGCGGAGAATTTTAAAGAACAAAGAGAAACAGATCCGGAGACTTAAAAAGAATTATGAAAATAAAACCACATTAGAACCACTGAGAGATATGTTAAGCATACCAGAATGTGTCTGCCTGAAGAAGTATTAACTACAAATGACATTCAAGACAAAATGACAAAATCAATTTTGTTCCTTTTTGTTTTGTTTTAATTCTTGTCTTGGTCGCTCTGTTACTTTATTCTACTCACTGAAATATTGTTCTAATTGATACGAACAGAAACAAATAAAAAGAAATATTAAAGTTTATATAAATTCTTAATTTGAAAACAATAATTACTTTATAAGTAAAACAACATTTTGTCATTAATTCTGTCTACTGCTCGTTTTCGCTGTAATACTTTTAATTTTAGTCGCTTTGTAGAATTTTTTTATTCTGGCTGTCTTAAATCTGTTGTTTGCAACTGCAATTTGTATTCCTAAATTTGTCTAGAAATTTATTTGACTTATGGTATGTTAGAGTTTTTCATGGGTTTTCCTCTAGCCTTGAAGCAAATGCTTTACCATTGTACAAAAACGCCCCCATGAAAACGATTAAATGTAAATATTTGTCTATAAATATACATAGATTTGTTCTTCTGAAGTTTGCATTTTTATTTAATAATATTTTATAGTTTTTTTTAATAACAAGTTCAAAAAATCACTGTTTTCATCTTACAACTTGTTCAAGTTTTGAGATGAAAATTTTTGATATTTTGGTACTTGGAATTAAAAAAAATGTTAAAGAGTAATGAGATTTATATTCAAACGAGTATTCCCGCTCGTATTTATCGATCCACTACACTACCGCCATCTACATCGATTCAGTTTATGTGAGAGAGAAAGTACCATACGAAGTTTTCATAAGTTAAACAAGGATAGATAGGAGTGCCACTTTTATTAGCCGGAGTCCGGCCTCTGTATACTCTGTGCTGTGGTCGCTTTAGTCTCTTCTCTTCTGGTTCCTCTACCGCATCGCTGCTGCACTTCTGACGTATTTTTCAAAAATTTTGAAAAATATAAATAACGTTTTTTGGCCTTTTTTACATTGAAAGTCTCGCAGCCTATGCTTATTTCCTTGTGTTCGAATTATTAAAAAAAAATAAAGAAATTGAAGAAAAATAAAGAAAACGAAACTTAAACTGTCTTACGCTTTTCTTTCGGAAAAGCACTTGCACTTATGTTTATGAATTAAAGAAAAACTTTTGACAATAGAAACTTTTGGCACAGCTCAATGAAACAACACGAAAACTGGTACACGAATGAATTTATTTCTACAAGAAGACAAGGTGAAGTGACAATACAAGTTTAAGGATCGAGACGGTCGACAACGAAGACGAAAAACAAAAAAAACATAAACGAAAATTACAAACATAATAAATATAGAAATGAAATGTTTAACATTCCGCCCGCCTTGCTCATAGCAATAAGAAAACGAACCTGAAATTGAAATAACATATTGTAAAAAATGAATCGCGACCTTCTAGCGAAATGTCCACATCGACTCACAAAATATTCTAGAGAAATAAGAAAAGAAAAATATAATTGAATATAAGGCAAAGGTATCAGACGGAACGGAATTTTAATAAAAATGAATAAACATAAAAAAAATGAATTGAATACAATAAAAACACAAATCTATCGGTTATTATGAAATTCAGAAAAACCATACAACAAAAATGAAACTTTATTCGTGAAATTTAACTTTGAAGAGGAAGCACGCATATTTTTGTTAATGGGCGAACCAAAGTCGTAGTTGGAGTTTTTATTGTGACGACACGAACGTGTCCATCGGAACCAGGGTGGAGCTCTTGTACTTGTGCCATTAACCACTTTGATGGAGGAAATCGCTCATCCTTTACAAGCACCAAACTTCCGATTTCCGGTACATTACGTTTCTCAAACCATTTTGTCGAGTTTTGAATGGATTGAAGATAGTAACTTTCCCATTTCTTCCAAAATCCCTCAACCATTCTCGTCAGAAGTTGCCATCGAGTAAGACGAGAAACCTTTTCGTTCAAAAGGGAAGGTTCCGGGACGATATTGAGTGCGGAACCAATCAAGAAATGTGCAGGAGTTAATACGTTGTAGTTGTTGGGGTCTTCAGAAATCACACAAAGAAGTCTAGAATTCAAGACAGCTTCAATTTGTACCAGTATAGTAGAAAATTCTTCATAAGTCAGTAAAGTTGTCCCAACGATCTTTTTCAAATGCATCTTAACTGAACGTACTCCAGCCTCCCATTTCCCTCCAAAATGTGGCTAAGCCGGAGGATTAAATTTCCATTGCTTATACGAAAAACGCTTATACGCAGCTAAAAAGCCCGCTGTCGAATAATCAGTGGCGATTTCGAGGTGAATCGCTGAGGTGGCTAAACATACAAACAAAACCAAATAAGCTTTATATGTCTTACCGCCACGACCTCGAAAGGTTCGCAGCTGAAAGGGTCCAGCGTAATCAACTCCGGTGTGGAAGAATGGTCTCGAAGGCGTTACGCGCGAAGAAGGTAGTTGTTGGCTTGATTCGACACGATGTTTAGCACAGATCATGCAGCGTTGGATGAATGCTCTGACAGGAACACGGCCTCCCAAAATCCAAAAACGTCGCCGTATGGATGATACTGTCAGTTGTGTCCCTCCGTGCAATGTGCTGCGATGGTAACTGTCGATGACTAACGTCGTTAATCTTGATTCTTTTGGCAAAATCATCGGGTGTTTTTCATTCCAATCCAGGGAAGCAAAGCGCAATCGACCAGTCACTCTTAGGCTGCCTTCACCATCAAGAAATGGAACAAGTCGATACAGTGAACTGGATTTTTGTATCACTCGTCCCGTTCGAAGCTCATCACCAAAATGAAATTGTTGACATTCACGAACTCAGAACATCAGAGCGTGATTAAGTTCCTCTGGTGAAAGAATGTCTGCAACAAAATGAGCTTTATTCTTACTAAAGATTCGGAAACACCAAGCTGTTATTCGAAGAAGTTTATTGAGATTTGAAAACTTGTTTTTTTGTCCTGACTCGAAACGTATGACCATCGAGCTTGGGATAATTCTTGAATTTCGATGGTTCTGTTGCGAACGTAATCTTTCCATTTGCTGGGGTGACTACAAATCCTTGAAAGCGCCACAGTTGAGTCGCCCCAAAGCTGAACTGAAATGTTTTGAAGATCCAAAACACTTATAGCGCGCTTCTAACCGCGGAATGGTTACACTTTTTAATGGGGCCACTTTTGTTTTAGAATTTACTATCGAAACTATAACTTCCCCGAGTTTACTGACGCGTAAATATGTAACGGCCCCGTACGTGGAATTTGACGCGTCTGAGAAACCGTGTAATTCAATAGAAGTAGCCGTTTTATCTATTCCGAGCCACCTTGGTACCCGAATGGTAGGAACGCCGCGAAATTCGTTAATAAATGATAACCACTTTCTTTGCAAGTCATGTGGCAACGATTCGTCCCAATCGAGTTTTCGCGTCCACAAGTCCTGCATAATAATTTTAGCAGTAATGATCAGCGGAGATAACCAACCTAGAAGATCAAATAACCTTGCAATGAATGAAAGTACCGAACGTTTAGTAATTTTGATCGAATATTATATAAACTGAACAGAAAATGATCATTAACATTGTTCCAAATAAGTCCTAAGGCTCGAGGAGAATGATCGTCATCGATATCTACAGTGTTCGTTTTTTCGGTAAGCTCAGAAGAAAGATATGTAAGGGCTTCCGAATAATTTGAGATCCACTTACGTGCGTTAAAACCGCCCGCCATAAGCACTCGATTTAATTGAAATATGAGTTCTTGGACCTCATCGACATTGTCTGCTCTGGAGAGAATATCATCGACATACGTATCGCGCAAAAGTGTCGCCGCGCCGAGTGGTTGACGAGATGAATTTTCATTCGCGAGTTCATGAATGCAACGAATTGCCAAAAAGGGGGCGCAAGAAAGCCCATATGTTACGGTCGAGAGTTCATAAGTTTGCAGCTTTTGTTCATCATTCTCGCGCCAGACGATGCGTTGGAACGGCAAGTCCTCATCGTGGATTTTAATCTGTCTATACATCTTTTCGATATCGCTTTCGATATCGCACGCAAAAACTACAGGATGGCGCCTCCACCGAATTAAAACATCCACCAACTCAGTCTGTAGTTTTGGACCAATATGAAGGCAATCATTAAGTGATATTCCGGAAGAAGTTGGTGGGACCCGTTAAAAACAACGCGCAGACGAGTTGTCGAACTTGTCTCTCGTATTACTCCATGGTGTGGCAAATAATAATTGGGAATGTCTAAATTGTCAGAGGTTCTCTGCATATGTCCCAAAGAAAAATATTCGCACATAAACTGTATTCAGTTCTTAATTCTTAATTTTTTGCGAAGCAATTCCATACGTTTGAAAGGTTGTACAGCCACTGAGCGAGACGCCCCAACTCAGTCGGGGACTTTCGAAAAGGCAACCGGACCACGAACCGACCGTTACATTCTCGAGAATGAGTTTGTTTAAAATGTCCCTCGCACTCGTGTTCGTCAACGGAGAGACGCGTCACATTTACAGAGTCGTCTTCTTGTCGTCAAAATCGTTCCATTACGTCAAGAAACTGGCGATCAATGGAGCACTGAAATCCGTACGAATTTGTTTTAGTATCAGATGATTGATTGGAAAATACACTAGAAAGGATCCATCCAAGAGAAGTTTGTTGTGCGATCAAGAGACTGTTATTACTTTTTTTAATGCCGTCTTGGATAATTTTTGAATAAAATTGAATGCCAAGTATTAAGTCGATTTGTCTTTCTGACGTGTAGTCAGGATCTGCTAAAGTAAGATCTCTCAATTCGGAAGGCAAGTCCATACAATTTTTCTGAGGTAAGTATGAAGTTAATTTTGGCAAAACTAACGCTTCTTCATCAAAGGTAATAAATGGATTTTATCGCGAAGACAACTGCACGGATACTACACCGTTAGAAATACAAGTGCGATGTGATGCAATACCAGCAATGAACAACTGGATGTTCGCAGAACGTCGGTTAAGTTTGAGTCGCTGCACTAAATTTTCTCCGATAAAGGAAACTTCGGATCCCTGGTCAATCAACGCGCGAACCAAAACA